GAGGACGTGAATAAGTAAATAAAGTAACAAAAACCAATAGTGGAACATTTCGGATGCTATGCGCGCGTTTTACTGCCATAAGCTTTTTGGGTCGTTACTGGGCCTGATACTGCCACCAAATGTGGGCTTGCAAATATGCCTTTGATCCCACTAACTTTGAGGTCTGACTTCGAGTAAAGCATCCCTGATCATTTGTTTTGCATTGGCCAACGCATCGTTTTCAATTATGGTACTATTAGCAGAAACGACGCAACGAGGACACCAGATTTGATTTAACATTTGCTTCTGATATATCTGATCTGACACACTGGTAGGACAGTAATCTTAGACGAAAGTTTTGTTGTCAGCGTCTATCGCGAAGTTCAGACCAGACAGACAGCCGAATGAACCTATTATAAAATTAATTGGTATTAAGTATTCATGTTTGATTAGATGTAAGCCAGAGAAGTTAGACACATTGTTAGCGGAGTACGTTTTGCATACATTTTCTTGCAAACTTAATAGCGGGTGCTCTCACCAGAAAGAAATCTCAAATACGCCTGTTATTTTCTATTTTAGCACATCCCCGTGGAAAAATACGTGCCTCCACTTGTTGATGAATCTAGGGGTACTGGTAATAATATCTCAAGTTCTGTATGAAAAGCTAAGTTTTGAGACAAATTAAGGTTTATGTAATTGATAATCACATACGAACCGTATACGCCCAAGTCGAATCAATAACCATATAGTATAATGTTTTTGCACATTAAATTGAATAGTAATAGCCGTAAAACAGTATAACATTGTCAATTTTTTTTATGGTTGCAGTGCAGAAAGCTATATATATATATATATATATATATATATATATATAATAGCTTTAAGTGATATACGACCTTTTGGCACAAGGTGGTGTTCCTTATTAAAACAACAATTCTAGTTACCATCTTCCCTATGTGTCAGAGGCCTAGATGGCTACCTGTATGTCCTATAATCGGCTTCTACTTTATGCGACGCCACGCCTTTTTGCAGCAATTTCTTTCTGAAACATATTTATAATTTGGATCGTTTACTTGTACGGTCCTCTCCTCACCGATACACTTATACACGTACTGACGCGTGAATTTACAAAGGTCAAGGTTAATATAAACCGACAACGGTACGGGAGAAGGTTGTGACAAACAACAGAACGGTAAAAACTGACCGACTAACTGAAGTGTACTATACCTCCTTCCCTCCATACTAACTGAAACAAAACCTGGGCGTTAAGCAGCTGCTTTAGCCGTACGCCGCATTATGCAAGAACGGCGTCGCGGGACCAGCGGCAGCTGGTTCAATGTCAGGCATCCAACGGGCACTTCGCCATGTTCACGACAAACGTCCACGTTTAGCGTATCAGGATCGCCTTCATAAAGTACGCCGAACGAGTCAGGGGCGGATTGGAATGCTTCTGAAGGCTTCGACTCTGTTTTCCTTCTGCAGTGTTCTGAAGCAACGAAATATAGACAGAGAGCAGAGCAATAAAAAGCTAGAGGGCCATGGTGAGTCAGCGGCGCCAGAGGGGACCAGTCGAGCGTGGGAAATATGTTGACATTTGCAAATGACTCGGGAAAAGAGGAACCTGCGCGAAACGAACGTCGGTGGAAGCACGAGGCGACGGCCAAAGACCGAACAAGCGCCGGTATGTACCGAAAACGCTAACACTGGTCTGTTTCGTTGCGAGAAATGGTTCTCTTTTTTAGGCCTTCCTTCGCAACACCAACTTCATTGACCAGCAGCATAACCACCGCCCTGTGTCGCTGCTACTGCAGCGACTCAGACCAGTCCGAAACAACCTGCCGCACGAGCACGTGCCCTGCAGAAGACTCGCACAGCCAAGGAGCTTACACAGATGCACCGGCGGGTGAAACTGTGTGCCAGTCGTGCTGCAACGAAACACGAACATCGCATAATGTGTAAGGAAGCGACCGACCGACCGACCGATCGAGCGGATGTTACGAATTGCCGACGTGCAAAATGCCTACCCAGAAGCCAAGCAAGCAATCTGCCTGGCTGTGGGGATCCTCTAGCCGGTACACTTCGTGTATGCTCTAGTACGGCTCCAGTAACTGCCAGAGCTAACTGTTCGCGTTTCTCTCGGAACCTCCTTTCGCTCTGTAACTCTGTTTCTCTACAGTTCTCATCCTCCCTTCTCTTTTGCCCGTTGGCATCGCCAGTAGATGAGCACGAGCCGAAAGTAAAAACTATACCGCGATCAGACTTCGGCGTGAGGCGTGTTTGGCGGACGACACTGATGAATTGCGTAGGAGATTGTCCCTTAGGCCTTGGAAACTAGTGGAAGAAGACTACGTAAAAGGCTACGCCGAGAAAACACGAGTAAAGGGAGAAGTAAAAGGAGCAAGGACCGGGGAACGAAGGCTTCAGCGGTGAACGAGCCGAAACGCCGCGACAGTCGAGGAGTAAAATTGCAGACTTCTCAAAAGTAGACTGCTGTACCGAAGAACTCGTATGGCAGGCTAGGGCTTAGGTAGACAAGTGGAATAGTTACTGATTCGCGTACTACATACAATGGTAGCCAAAAGTACTCGTCCAGCCTGTTATTTTGGACCAATTTGCCAGAGCAGAAGGTAATTGAATTAAATTTTTCAAAAAGTCATAGTTACAAGCTTGAAAAAAATTGTTTACTTTGGGACAGACGAGAAAATCGAACATTTCACTTTTCAAGCAGCGTGACCGATCTTCGTTTACCTTGGAACTAATATTCGTGTAGCAATGTTATACAGATACAACGGCCCTATTTACTCTTGTCCATAAGTGGAATATGTACAAGCATTTAGACGAGTTGATTAACTAGAGTGGGTTATATTTGTTTCACTCAGTGTAAGCGGGTAATTCATATCTGAGCGAAAAGTTCGGGTAACTAACAAAAACTTTGGGAGGCTAGGCCTTGCCTATACGAAAAAAGTAAGTTATCGCGAAATGCAGGGCAAACATCTCTACCAATGGGATTAGTCATCTTCAGCAATTTCACACAAAGAGAACTTGTGAGTAGTCGTGAAAGTTCTAAGAAAATCGAAAGAACGGTGTTAGAAGAAGTATTGAAAAGTTGCCAATAAGAGATGCGGAAGTTTCAGAAGTGTATTTTGAATCGTTCTCGCTAGAAACGACAAACGATCGTTGCCGCTAGACTCGTATCAAATATATGGGGTAAATGTGAGAAGCCGAATCAAGGCTTTCACGCGAAAAGAATGCAATAATATGTCAAAACAAACTAGGACCCTTGAAAATGGGCCGTATGAATATCCTGAACGAAAGCCCTAAAGTTGTTTGTGTACAAAATGGCAAATTTCAGACTTTTCTAGTCTATTCGAAAGTGAATAAAAAGCGATGGCCTATTGCGTTCCTGTGAAAGCCGCACACAGTTTCTAGGTAGCTGTGTAGCCAACTTTTCAACCAACTATTTGTAATAAACTTAAATGACCACAAGCCTTTTAAGGGCTGTGACAACTTGAGGTAGTGATCTCTCCGTTTATTTACCAAATCTTCGTTGTCTCAAATCGCTGAATGATTAGCGACATTTTTGAAAATACTCGATCTCTATTTGGTCACAGAGTCGCAATAAGAACTTTCGAAGTTTTTTTGCTCTGTACCCTCAATTTGGGCTGTGTATGATGACCACATGAGTCGTTCTACATGCGACACCCAGCTAGTTCGCAGACGTCGTATCAAGTGAATAGTTGGAACTGACACCTAGGTGGGTTCATTAATTTTTTTTTTAAGTTTGGCCTTTATTTTAAATAAAAGTCCTTGTCGATTTCTTATAAATCATATCAATGCCGTTTAGAGGCAAGGGGCTAAGAATGGGCAGAAGGACGAAGTTCTGCTGCAATCTCAGTTAGTATACAACAGAAGCAAGTGCCATTGCACCAAGTTATACAACCCATCTGCATATACCAATTCATTCCTAAATAGACCTGTTCATGTTATTAGAGCTTCTACGGGAATAAGCGCTTGTATAGATGTGAACTGTACAAGCAGGATCACAATGGTTAGCCTATTTGTCTCCCGTTGGTAAATCAAAGGCAGAAACAGGTGTCGCTGAATTTGTGTTAAAATTTCATAAACCTCAATCCTTTCTCATAAAACTTGTGCTTTATATCAATGCAGCAAGACTGTAGACAAAATTTGGTTAGGAACTGCATGTACTCAAGATTAAACTTTTGAGCTATTAATTTCGAATTCTAGAACTGAAATATTGATTTTTTAAGGTAATTGGTCCACACTCGTTCAATATTTCATTGCATTAAATTTTGACTGGTTTCAGTCAAAATTTATCAGTCAAAAAAACCGTTGAAATTACTTTAGGATTACATAGCCCCCTTCTGGCCCTAATCGTATAGCTTCCCTAGAGATACATACGTACTCTATTGATTCGTTTTTTAACGCCTAGAGCACAAGTGCAGTATCACTTGTAATATTGTACCATGTTAAAGCATTTCGATCACTGTGCTTTTGTTGAATGTGTGTTAATAGTAATACGATTATCGAACAAGATAACGGCTTGCAGCTGGGTCTATTTTTCAGCGCAATCCAGCCCAAAAGGCTCAAGTTTTTTGTCGGTTCATGGGTGACACTGATAGATACTGCTGTCGTTGACTGAACTGGTCACAGATCAGAGGGCAACCAAAGTGGGTTTCACTGGCTGGCAAGCAAGCATTGCGCAAAAAAGAAGCGAATATAGAGCGTTCTGAATAAATTATGCATATATGGTCAGTGCTCTATATATAAGTCGCCGACAGAAATGCGTGTAGAAGCGATATCCGTGCGTGATTTGCATGAGGAACTGCCGTGATCAGGGCTAATGGAACGTAAAGCACTTCATCGAAGTAATACCAGCAGCAGCAGACAGGCGGCGCTGGGAGCAGCAACAAAAATAACTGGGCAAGCGAAAGTTCACGAACCCAATTTAGTGTAACGTAATGATTCAGGAGCCCTGAATCTATTTCGTCGAAAATAAACTCTTATGGTATGATATATAGATGCCAATGCGGTGCTCGGTACGCTTACCGTTAGCTTGATCCACCTATCCGCCCGGAATCCTCTTCACCCTGTGATGTACGTACATTGTGTGTGTCTTTATGCTCGTGTTATTTTTAAAGGAGGATAGTGTAATTTTTGCAATTTAGTTTTTTAGATTGTGACTTGGAAACGTTAGAACATCGGGAGTCCTACCACATTAAATGTGTAATTACACGCAGAAAATCAGTGAAGGCAAAGTTGACGCTGAATAATGTAGACGCGCCTTCCGGTAAGTGTTTAACACACTGTTCAAAAGCTGTATAGGGCCTGAGACGAAGTATTTAGTTTAATTTAAATGCAATCCCGTGTGCCGATTTCCGTTTACCTGTGCAATGGAACTTCTAGAAATGCCGGCCTATTTGTTAATTAGCCCGATTGTGATAATGATATACCACCAAATCATTATCATTAACACTTGCCGACCACATTCTACGACTCTCCTCAACCACAAATAATAATAGTAAAGATCAAAACGCTATCGTATTGTAAAGCTCCTTTTGAGTCCTTTGTTCTATTGGCACTTTATGCACATATTGTACTACGTTCGAACAAATCATGTGCATAGCAAACATGTGGTTCAGTGTTTGTATATTTTCTTCAACCAGAACCTTCATCTTCCCGGTAAAAGTAGCATACAATTAAATTTCACTCAAAATCAGACCAAGCCAATTGAAAAGACACCCTTGGTTAACTCGATTGCGGTTCACTGCCGCTTTAAGATACTGCCGTTATTGGCGTTAGCTTCATTTGGGGGTCTTGGTTCGATTGGCATACTGCAGAGGGGTCATAAGGAAGAGCGAATTCTGCTGTTGTTGCTTACCATTTGCTATCGAGTGCCCATCATCTTGCCTCGATCAGGGCAGGATGTTGCTGGAGAAGTCTGTCCGCGAAAGCACTTAAATGTAAATAATTCCTAGTCAAGCTGGTTGGCTGTGTTGGGCGCGCGTGTCGTTGAAAGTTCGAAATTATCGCCGTCTTTTTCGCTCTTGCTGCACTGTTGGAATGCGTATTACTCGGTGCACTGTTCGGCGTTGGGCGTACTCGTAGCGGGTTTTTTTTTTGCGGACGCTCTCACTGTTGGAAAAATCGTTAGATAGACATTAGATGTTGATGACTACGTGCGCACTCAGACGCATTAGAGGTCTCTGCACTGATGTGCGCGATGCGAGTTCGGTGCGCTGGCCGTAGCGGCCAGTTAATAGAAGACGATCAAATGCTGTGTTTGTATTACCCCTGAGAAAAAGTGTGACTGGATAAGCGTTTGCAGTTAGTAAATGTAACATGAATATGTTAGTGAAGACAAAATGGCAATTGATTTACTCTAAAGTAAGCTAATTGTTGATCTGATAGTTTAAAACGTTTCGCCTTTTCGTCAGTAAGTGTAAGCAGCCTAAATTAGCCCTTGCATTGGAGTGCTTTGTGAATCCATTTGCGGTAAGGTATCTTCATGTTCGATATACGATCGAGAAAAAAAAAATCACTGTTTACCCACCGATCATAGACAGCAGACTGCTATCATGTTAATAATTGCCTTCCCATCGATAATCGAATTAGGTTACAATGATGGTATACAGTACACAATGCCCCAGATACCTGTAGATTATATTACTGCCAATTTCGTACATATTTCTGCCGCTAAATTTGAAATAACAAAGTAAAAAGAAATTTTTCCCTTATGAGGCTGTCCGTCGTAAACAAAAAATTCTATACCTGAAAACGTTCTATTTTCGCAACCCACGTTCCACTTGCGTGTAAAACAAAAAAAAAAAAAAAAAAAAAACAACCTAAGTTAAGTATATATACGTAAGTTAAATAGATTTGATAATATTAAATAATGATGAAAGTTTTAATGGGTATATTGCTTCGTAGTTGCGGTGTAAGAGCGTGCTATAATAGCAATCCAATTTAACTAGATGATCTTCACGAGTTTTGGTCTTCATTGAACTTCGACGTATGTTATCATTTGGAAAAAATTGTGTATCTTAAAATGTAATTTAGAACAGCACACGCATAGTAATCACTTACTGCCCTTTTTGTGTACACATCATCGCAGCGACAATACAAATAGTTTTTTAGCTTATTTTTTGTCTATATGATCGAAGTAATAAGCTCGTATAAGGTAGCAGGCATGTAAAGATATTACTGATAGTGCCTTTTCGAGTATTTATTTAAAATGCCGAAATGAAATTAAAAAGAACCGACAAGCTGGATAAGTGCTTCTAGAGTAGGTTCTATGGGTATGGATTATCTACAGGTAAAAATGTTTAAATCACAATTCTTCTTTGGATGTGAGCATTTGCATGTGTAAAATTTAACAAAAGAAATATATATATATATATATATATATACATTTTTTTTTTAATTTATTAGAGAGAACGTTGTGAAAAGGCTATTGCTGGTATCACGGCTCCTAAAGATATTACATAGAGTCGAACAAATCCTCTTTGATAGAGCCACTTAAGCTCAATTGGCTTGACATTCCCCCGGGGTTGCTATGAAGATCTGAAGAGCTTACATGTTTGATCATCGTACAGTTTGTGTCGGGAGAAAGCAGGAGGGAACTGAGAGGCTTTTGTATGATATTGTATCATAGTTACATCTGAGGCCACGTGTGGTACATAAGGAATTACAAGTATCATCAACGGGCTGTTGTTAAAAAGAATTTAGATGCTGGAGCCAAAATCGATTGTTCCCGAAAGCCAGGTCTGCTTCCAATTGGTCTATACAAAAATTGAGAAAAATGTGACAGAATGGAAAGTTAACTTGCATACCATATTTCTATCTTTGTCTAGCCACCTGTAGGTTGCGCGTATCACAATAGAACCTTATTGTGTTTTTTTATGTTTGTCGCTCGTGGTTCGTACGCTAGCTTGCTATCTTAATTAAAGCTCTAACAAAGACAACATTCAAAACCCACAGAATTGAGTTAGCTGAATATCAGGCGGAGTTGATGCCAAAGATAATGCTTCATAGTCTAACCTACAAAAAAAACTTCGTATTAAAGATTAGAAAGTTGCAGAAGTTTGGCTCTCTAAATAACTTCATTTATTCATAAAGGTTATGTATGTACATTTATATCTGTGCACAGGCACTTAAACAAGTCATCGAACGCTGCGCTGAAGAAAAAAATAAAAAAGACGAAAAGCAATTTTTAAATCGCACTATACTTGGTCATCTGATCATAAGGCAAAAGCACTCACATATTATTAGTAATCGTTCTAAAGATTATAGGCAATATTAGTTAGATATTAAGGCGTGTGAATATACTTTTACGGCAGGACACACGTCGGCACCATATACGGCCAAAATTCCGGACACCCTCAACCGCCTGCTCCCTGAGCGATTATATTAGTTATGTACATGGTACCAAGTTAACTTTCTTTCTGCCTCCACTGCCAGCTCAGCTTTTCGGCCATAGGACTCCCGGGGGACGCAGGCATTGGGCTGTCAGGTGCTAGGCTACTGAGGAACTGCGCGTTTGACGAGTCGACAGATCTTTCAGTGTCTCCCTCCTTTCCTGACGACGGCACCGAACTAACTATGTCACACAGTTGTCCTGTTTAGGCATAATCTAACGGAAGTGCAAACATGGCATTTTCACTTAGCTCTGTTGCTTGCCATTTCACGTACTTTCTCCAGTAGGAACTATGTAACGACGCTGGCCCTGATAAATTAAGTGTGTTATATGGTTACGCGTTGGTGATCTCCTCAGACATTTTTATAGGCCTGTCACACTTCATCTTCATCCTTCACACATCTGTCGATAAAAAAAAGTAAAACTCGGGAAATTACCATATTACTCAGTTTATAGTCTGGTCGTTCAATTGAATCAACTGAAATATGTGGCATTATTCATGCGTTTACAATCCAAGCTACAAGACTCCGTGCTACTGGAGCAGAAAAGTGCAGTAAAGTCAATAAGTGTCGATTAGTTAAGACGGAAGCTAATTTTTTTTCTTTTGGATCACTAAAATGGATCACTAAAATTGATCGACTAAGCTTTACTCTTAGGAAAAAGCTAAATTCCTATCCTATATCCGAGCTTAGGAATTGCTCAGGCGGATACATGTGACTGACGACTACGCAGAGTAGTAGGAAGTTGGGAATTCTAAGGTTCAGAGATGTCCTAGAAATCAGCCAAAAATTAACTACATACGTATAGAGTACGTAACAATTCTAGAGTCGTAAAGTTTCCCTAGATATTTGCACATGCTGCTACAGCAGAAAAAATTTTATCACCTTACTGCTTTGTTTGAGAATTAGTTAATTTACCTCATTATGACAAGCACACAATTCGTAATTAGATTAATTCATAGCTATTTATAACGTTTACGTCAAAAAAAACGTCGCCAACGTTTTACTATTGGAAAGTAACTATTGCCTTTGGATATACAATGTCAAAAACGTTTGGGTTATACAGATCCCGGTTTGCGCTATCAAGTTCACTCTTACAAATCGTACCCGTAATATGCCGTGGCCAGTCTAATTTGACGCTTTCAGTTTCACTCCGCGTACAACTTCCAGATACGGTAACTTTCCCGACCTTGATTGTATATTTGGGCATTGGCTTCATTTTGTGGTCGTCTGATGGAAAATATGTCCAATGGCGATACCGGACGTTAAACTCGAAATGTAGCAGGTTTTAGTTTATAATTGTGAGCTTTCTATTCTACAGTTTTATGTTTATGATATAGGAAGATTCTAGCTCTCATTATAGACTTGCATATATTACTGCATGTAGCGATAGCACAATCTGCGGTACCGGTCCGGCCGATCCTTCTGCCGTAATCAGGTCATTTTCATAGTACATCTACAACAAATACTTTTGTAGCCATGATTTATCTATACTATTTTTCTCCCATCGTTGTTCTGTAAGGTTCTTTGAAGTCAGACAGTACTCAAATTATTGGGTAAGGCATATGTTTTACGGAAATAAAAACTCAGTGTTCTGAATTGTTTTTCTAACCGGATGTATTTACCGTAAGTTCAGCATAAGGACCATTGTTAAGGATAGGCACACTTCACACATGTCTCTAACTCAGTCAGTACGTAAATCGACTATACCAAACTATCACGTTGACCATTTATTCGCGACAACACCGGTGTGACGTTAATCACCCTCCGTGAAACCCTCGAGGTCCTGGGTCGATTCTAGGAAGACAGCCAGATTCTACAGCGAACCACTGACGCAGCGGGTGAAGACGTTACTATACGATTTTTTAAACGGCGTGTATCCCTTATTATTGGACTCGAGCAATGCTCAATTATTAGTTAAATCTAAAATGAAATATTTTCATAAAGTTGTTCTATTCGATTCCTAATGTGTATCAAAGACCTTTTTCATCGATATTTTTTTAACACATTACGTATCTAAAACATTGTAAGTTATGATGACGGCAGACTAAGTTGATTCAACCTAGTGAATACTAGCAAATTTCTTGTTATATTCTTATTTCAGGAGCTATTCTCTCCGAAAACGTATTCCATGTCGGCTCTAAGCATCTGACCACCGCGCCATCGACCTGTAGAGACCCACGCAACATCGTTTTCGTACCTGTTCAAAAAGGGACTTCCCTTATGCCGTTAGCAACCGTGATGCAACACTTACCAGATACGAATCTTGGTAAAATTGTCTCTTGTAGTTTTATATCAGTTAGCGTACTCGAGGCAATGAGGGTTACCTGTGCTAAAGGAGGCGACGGTTCATGCGTTTAGGTTTACCTTTGGTCGGACTTTGCGTGCCAGACATATGTTTCTGACAGATCTCGCCGCTCCACTCTCATACCAGACGACCCTGTCTTTCGTTCCGTAACGGTAAACATGCTTGTCAATGCGGCTACTGCACTCGCTACGACGACCTAAGATGTCCCAGTCACCGAAGAACTTCACTGAAGTAATGCTTTCATCGGTTGGCTTCGAAGAAGGCCGTTAAGCGGTTAATGCTTCCAAGTGTACATCGGTGTTCACTAAGACGATCCGCAATATCCATCGAAGAATTATAATTCCGAAATAGTTTGAGCTTACGGAATGTGTTTTGCTTTGAGTGATTTACGACAGAGTTCAATGTGTATATATATTTTCAAAATGGTGCACTGAGATGGAATTTTCATGAACCGTTTGCCCTAACGGGCATGCATTAGTCCACTCCTATTTCCAGGCAAAAACATGCTCGTTGTAGAAGAATACAACAGACCTGTTATGGCCGACAAAAATGCGCTACTTTTGGAATTTGAACGGAAATTAGGTGTTACTTAATCTTTCTGCGGTGGAAAAGCCTGCCGCAAAATTGAAAGCTTCATACTTTAGCTCAATTTTACATTACTGTCAATTGCTATGTGGCTCTTAAGAATATACAGAAGATCTTCGTGACGCAAACCGGAAGATCTTCAATAGGGTTCAGATTGGAAAGGCCCAAAAAACTCATCGAAATTGATCAAGCTATTTTTGATACATCTAAGTTTTTCACATATGAAGTTAGGTTTTTCGAGACGGTTTGCGCTTTTAAAACGTTTCGCGTTTTTCCAACTTTTTGGCCGTTTTGGGTTCCTACATTTTTAGGGCTTTTGGTCTGCTATCAGCTCAAAATGTAGATTCATTGAAATTTCTTATATATAGCATATTCGAGTGGCACTTTAATGGCTTTATATCTACCGATATTGACCGCTGATACTATTTGAAGCTTATTTAAAAAAAGAAAACTTTCAAACTTGACTGGCTAATTGTTTAGGCCCAAATACGCTGTGGATAATGGTGACATTGAATAGTTATGGTCGTCAAGAATAACACTTCTAGCGCATGCAAAAGGTTTCACTGATGTATTACTTGTTTAGGTTCGATCTTAAAAATAAAGCATATAGATATATACATATATATGTATTCGACCAGGCAGGCAACTTGCTGCGGCGCCAGATCCCCCCAATGCTAATTTCCCCCAACAAATTTTCGTCCAGGGCCGAGGATTTAGTTTTAGAAGGCTACAGTACGCTGTCCTGTGTCACAGCTGCAACTGTCACACTGAGTGGCAGCCTCTTCCTTTACGTCTGTTGCTCTATATAGACAGACAATGGTAGACACGCATTTGGCATTGTTAAACACCCGAGGAGTCAATCGCTGCGGAAACACGCTGGCCAATTGCAGATGATCTTGCTATAACGCAGGAGTACAATAGATAAGCTGCATCAGACCGAAGACGTGTTAGCTATACGTCATTTCAAATAACAATTCTTATCTAGTAAAATTGTTTGATATACTGGAGTCGATTACCTGTAATTGTCCACAAATGTTGCGACAGCACTGGATATAATGAAATTCAAAGATTATGTTTCGTCTTATTTTTCTTGCCTCGCTTGACGGCGCTGGAGGCTCACATTATTTTTGAGTATATTTATTATACCTGAGCAAACAAGTAGTTTCTACTCATTTCGACATCTCGCACCATAGCTCTAATGTGACGCCTGGGGACAAAACAGTGTAAAACGATTGGCGTCCACCATACTCTATGTAGATGATAATTGATTTTATCTGAAACATTTTCTCATCATGTACGCATAAGTAAAACTTATTTTAAGGTATTAGTGGCTTTCATCATTTTTATTGTCAATGCCTGAGGGGCACAATCGCATTTTAAGGCTTTTTAATCGTAAAGGGTTAATACCATAATAGAATTTATAGAACAGGATGCTAATCTGAAAAATTCATTGAGCTAAGCAAGCGCCTGTAAAAAAAAGTATCATCTAAAGTCACTCTATGATTCAATCTTATTTTTTTTATCTTATCTATTAAATATCATATTTACCTCATACGTGTTTGAATGATGGCCTACGCACCAAAGATGATCCATGAACTGTGGTTCTATTAAGGCGCAGTTGTCAATTTTTATGAAGACGAAACAAAGGCCGGTATCCTTAAGCCAATTTCAACACGTCTATCAGGGTTTATGAATGAAGTTCGACATTTGCTGTTGCCGTGGGCCCGAAATAGCTATAGAAGCTATGGCGAGGCAAACCATTGGAGTGCATCTTTTACGATGTAGTGCCTTTTCATCTTCGTAACAAGGTGTAGATTCATACACTTGCTAAGACAGAAAACTAATGACTGAATAAAAAAAAATAGATGTTTTCAAACACCAAACGGAACCGGATATAACTGTGGCGTAATAAATTAGTGTTCTGCCTTTTACCTAAATTAAGAGATTCATGATAAACAGACATTTAGCCTGCGTTCATAGTTTAGAACTGATAGTTTAGACGCCTGTAATGATATCGCATATATATATATATATATATATATATATATATATATATATATATATATACTTTTTTTTTAAATTAAACACTCAAGTGTGAGAATTAGGTAGTCTTCAGTGTTGGACGTAGGACTACCATTCTTATTGAATAGACCAACTCGATACAAAATAGGAGAGAAAGTAAGCCCTTTTGAGCCTGCACATACCATCAGTTTGTCGTTTGAGGTGGCAGCGGTTTACTTATAATCAAATAATATTCTCCTTCGTATTATTTCACACAAATCCAGACGATAGCGACGTTTTAGATTACCGTGGTCCCATTGAAAGCGAACATGGATTACACGAAGCAATACAACCTTTCAACTGAACTCAAAGAAAATATAAAACATACATTAAAACGAGCACTATGTTTATGTTAAGAAAAACACCTGCAGCTACAGCTCCAGCGTACAAAAAGCTCTCACTTATGTAATCTTTATCATATAAAATCCAAAATGATAACCAAATTGCCCATGCTGATAACTATGCTATCCGATGACTACTATTTACAAAGCTGTGATGACCTGAATAGAAAAATATGGGCCAAATTATACTTTACTTCTCGCTCAGCATCAATAAGCCTCCGGATTGCCTTACCACCCAGTCACCGTGTGGCCTTACCGTACACAGCTACGTGCTGCCCGTTACAGCGGTAGCTGCTTCCTCGCCATCCGCATCCTACTCAGTCCATTTCGTTCAGAGTAAATTTACAGTTTTAGTTCAGTGTAGCAGATAGGCCGTGCGGCTAGTGGCAGCAGACGTTCTCAGAGCGGATTGTTCAGCACGGCCGATAGGGCCTGACTTAACTCCCACTCCCTCTTCCCTTTGTCAGTCTCTATCTTCCAACTCAAATAGTCCCCAAGAGACTGAGCGAATAGTCGGCCGCCACTGTCGCGATCTCAGTAGCAGCCGAACGCAGTACCGACTCTCTGATTGCGAGCCCTCGGATGCTACTGCTACTGATTCCCCAAGCTACAGCACCTCGCTACAACGCGAACGCCCAAGTCGAATGCCTTGCCCAAGAGAGGGGTCGAGCGGGCCGATCGGCTGGAAGGGACTACCTCTAAGGGCGGCTTTATCGCTGTAGTATTTAGAGGCCCTAGATCGGAAAGCTTGCACGGCGAAAGCGCTGGGAAGCTTTCCTTTTCTTAGAGGCTCAGTCGTATTCAGAAAAAGGGCAGTGGAACTTAAGAGGACACGGAAGAGTAGAACAGAATGGCGCGGAGAAGGAAGAGAACCTGCTGGACCTGCTCTAAAAACGCTGTGTGCGGAATGCTTTTCAGTTTTTGGCAGAAAGGCGCTACACAGGCTGAAGCTGCAGCGATGACGACGGTGTCGAATGGGGCTGCCGCCCACTTCAATGAAGACCATACAACACGTTCCTAAGACGGAGGCACATTTTTTGTGTCAGCTGCACCCGTCGCAAGGAGTCACTCAGGGTGGGGGAAGTGTTTGGAATCCAGAAGGACGCTATGTAACTGATCCTCAGTCCAGAGGAGAGACCCCGACTGCGCTGATCCGGCATCTACTAACTCCGCTCACTCTGTTCCTATTAAACGATACAGTCTCGTGCGGTTAGTAAAAAACGTGAGCTGTGACCTTGCAAGATACTTCTCGTCGAGAATTACTTTAACTGAAAAAATACACAAAAGTTGTGTTATGTATATTCTATATAGTAGAAAGTAAACGGAAACAGTAAACCAAATCTTCGTTAAATACAATGTCCTTAAACGGTTCCATTCATACAAGGTTCATAAACGATTGCCTTTATGTACAAACCAGTTTTGATATCTTCGTTTCAATATTAACCTGTGGTATAGCAGTTAGCAGGTAGTGTACAGTTTCTTTGTATTAGACCTAGCCATTGTTGTTTCGCGTCTGCATTAAGCATGAATAGCAGCCATCGGTAAACTGATCTAGTTGCAACTAAATAAATCCGCAATAAAAAAAAACATTAGAAAAACAATACAGAAAATGAAAAAATTTAGCGCCGAAGAGCTGATATTCTTGGACATTATAATGAATCACTCACAGAGTCTTCTTTTTTTGATTATCCTATTTTCAGGTGCTAATAAATAAATAAATGACTTGATACGGGCATTTCATACTCGTCTCGGTAAGGATGGCTTCACGTGTTTCGTAAGGCAAATACTTGTTGCGAAAACACACATTTTTTATACTGCGAGATGGCAGCATTTTTTACTCATTTCACGGCTAAAAGATAATATATTAGAGTATCACTGATACAAAATGTCTCTTCTTTAATTCCTTCAATACTATCTAATAAGAACATATTCTGTAGATTTATACAACCTGAACGAAATAAATCGGCTAATTGTATTAGTTCCTTACTGGCTTTTTTTACGGTATTTAGAAATTTCTTCAAATAATAGATGAACTAGCATTTTGTTTCCATTACCCGATGTCTACGTTGCCCAAACGCCAATGCCCAACCGCCTTCACCCGCAGAATGTATAGATCACCTTCAAAGTCACAATATACGTATACCTAAACGGCTTTCTATCTTTATCTATTAATTGAGAGGATTAAACATCGGCCCCTTCTTCTCATTTTTTCTTATTTGTGTGAATGAAGTGCCTCGATGACTAGACGTTACGTAGACTTATGTTTACATCTTCATTGGACTATAGCGCCATCTTGTAACGTTTGTTTGCAGATGTCAGGGCCGCCAGTAATATTAACTTGAAAAGTTAAGATAAACCGATGTGATGAGATTAATCAAACAGAATACTTAAACAGAGAACCTGACGTTTCCGCTATTGAACGGACCTAGATTCGTTCTGCTTACGAAAATCGTTTTAAGAAATGCCAAATATTGTATATTTATACGTTTTAACGTACCGTTTTAACGGTGATTTGAAGGATAATGTTACTCAAACGTTAGTTTGGCTTTTCGTCTATTTGTTTTTGGGCAAGACTAGGAACCAGGAGGTTGTCCTGATAATTTGTAATAAAAAATATTTGTCCTGAACTCTGTTTGGGACCAGCACGAAGTCCCATAAGAAGCTTAGCTGCTCAAAGGCAGCACAGCCTGACATATATGACAGGTGTTGTTCTCAACGGAAGACGCCACTGCCCAGCTCTAAATAGCGCATAGTTTAGAGAGTGAGACAAAATCTATAGATCGTGGTTTTTGAAGTTCTTCCTCCTAATGTAAATCTAAAAGTGCAGTATAATCTGTATTAGCGATTATATCGTGTCGAGTTACTCAGTATACTACGGAAAATGCTAGTGGACGATGCAAGGACCTATAAACAAATCCATGATCGCAATATGATTGTTACTAGAATTCAGTTCCCGTAAAGACCTCCTAGAAGGAGAACTAGAAGGGACATGATTAATGCGCAAGGCCAGGCATAAGGTGGCAATGATCTTACTAGTAACGGAATGAAATTCGAAAAGCGTAGCGATGTGCTCGACCGTGTACCAATCTAGAGAAGCGGTGTGGTTGATTAAGGTATGCATGGGATTTTCAGAAATATTTACAATGAACCATAATTGAAAACAATCGTCCCTTAATTGAACCACTGGGAGCCGTCGTAGGCTAGTATGACCGTGTAATATCCATACGCAAATAACATGAAAAACAGGCAATAAAAAAAGCGTACAATCTAAACCTTTTCAGACAGGTAAGGATTTTCTGCTGTTGAGGATATTTACGTAGGTTAAATCATTACGAGTTTGGGACTGGCGGTTGTAAATATAATAATCGAAAAAAATGCCTTCTACGAGTATGAAACTATACCTGAGCGAAACCAAAATTATTTACGAAGCCTAAGATTTGCCTGCCTTGGCGTCATCAAGGCGTATGCCGTAATCAGGAGAAACACGCCCCGAGAGACAGTAGACGTGCAAGGCGCACGGCCCGTCTGGATAATTTGAGTGATTCTGGAAAAGAAGCTGATGTGGGAGGAAAAGTCTGTTAAAGGCTGTTCATGAAAATGAAAAAGCGTCCGAAACTGGCCAGAAAGATGAGTTCGGGACATCGTGTCGCATCCAAATTTCTAAATTGCAATGAAACTTTTTGAGCAAACAAGAAGATTAATACGAAAGTAGGCTTCCTCATACGACAAATACGATGTCACGCCAACAACGGCCCAGATCCATATTCCGAATCATGGAAACATTTCAGAGTAGATCGATGTGGTGCAGTAAAACCACAGTGCGAAAAAACCTACACAAATGTGAAGAAATAGGGGTCAAGTTGTCATCCATCTAAAGGTCATATACAAACCCGCACTTCGAAGTCGGCAACTATCGAAAGTGGTTTCGGACTATGGGGAGCACGATACGAGAAAGAAAAGAAGCCTTGCAACGTGTAGCTGTACCGGAGCCCACGGCGAGGGTGGCGTGACCCTATTGCAAGGAGAAAGAGGAAGTATCCTGCTACAGACACTGCCATGTGCCACGCGAATGCTACTTATCATGGATTTCCGTCGACACTTTGAGCTCGACTTAGATGTTTACTCTGTCAAAAGTCGAGTAGAGCCGACGACGATGGAGAATGCTACACACGAGTGTAACGCAAGGCACTTGCTACGACTTAGACTATCCACTGATGCACGGCTTATTGAAAATATAAAGGCGTACTACGGATCTGAAAGTCTGAGACCCAAAACATTCGCTAGAAAAATTGTTTCGTTAACTCTCATGTTGGTAGCCTTAGATATGATATACTGCTGCAGTTATGAACTGTTTATACGCTATTATAGCTGCTATCATACCATGTGTGAGCTTTTCTCGCTACGGCTCAGATCTCAACATTTTTTTTTTGAGTTACAAGCAAGAGAAACAATGCTTTTATTCTCTTCGAAAAAAAGGTTCGTTCAGGATCCAAATTATTCCATACCTTTACCATTAGTGAGCCTGACAAACTGCGACAGAACGAACAATCAATATGTACAATATTATCACACAGCGAAGACACAAACTATATCCTCTTTTATGTCGTTTTGCTTATTGTTGTGCTCCAATCGAGAACTGGATCAACTGTTGGGCCTTTGGATCTTCAAGCTGACGGAGCAATGTAAACTCAGAATGCTACATCCATTATTTGGTAAAATCATATCGAGTCAGCCGCGCGACACTGAACTATAACTAGATCTATCAACAAGCGTGATGGTTTTATGTCTTCTGGCTTTCTTAGAGTCCCCGCTTCTCGACAGGGCTTCTCTGTCTGTCCATGTATCCGTCTCTCTTCGAAACGGTCTACTCGTTCTTGTAAGACTGTTTTATCGTATGTTAGCGTCTCTGTATGAGTAGATGTGCGCCATGCGCTAGCAACGTCCGTCGGGCCATCGTAATCCTCGTCCTCTGGGGATCCTGACACGGCTCAGAGCAGCTTAACTTCGTGCTTAAGTTCGCAGTACCCTATAGCGTAGTGCACTACACGATATGTATACATTAGTATACTCGTAGGGCGGCTATGCTAGTCTTTTTCACTCCCAACACACACACAGTTGCTTTCTTTACCCTATCTCCCCTTTCAGAAACGGGCGCTCGAGGTCGCGGGTTCCGCTGATTTGAGACAGAGACGGTGTTCAGTAACGCCACACAACGGCACGACGTACAATATGGGACATGATAAGATGCTGATACTGGAAGGTGACTCGTCGAACAAGTGCTACGGGTATGCCCCGGAAGATTGGTCAGGCAGATCGACCAAGTCCGTTACGGCTTACATGTTTGGACCATCCGACAAGCAACAATGTCGCTAGCGGCTAGCATCCATATCATTTACCTTTCCCGATTTGTCATTCGCTCTTCGTCTTAGAAGCGTCAGCGACCAGCCCCCGGAGGCTGTTGGATCTTCCGTAAACAGTTTCCGTATAGCTGTATTTGCGGTAATGTATCAGCTACATTCGGGTATATGTCGCTTCCGTATCTCTGTCCTGAGCTGCTGCTGCAGCACAGGGGCGCAGAACCAGCGTAGACGGCGCTCTGATGGCCTCGTTATCTCGTCGGAGGTCAGTTGCCGTTGGTAGCCAGGCTTATGCCAACTGCCAACTGCAGCGGCGGTAGTGGTGATCACACTGAGGCCGGGGATACAAGGGCGTTAACCGCTAGTGCTACTAAGGCGGACCTTGGCAACTTTTATCGGTCGGTAATGGCTATAACGACAACAAACAACAATTGCGGAGAACAATGATCCGTCTACGTAACACCACGAATGTACAGTAAATCATAATCATATTACTTTAATTAATAATAGCAATTTGAGTCATTGTATATTCATATAATTATAAGAAGCGATCCATCAATTGTTTTGTTCTCGCATTTTCGATTCGACCTTTAAAATACCTTTAAAAATAAAGAAATTCAACTAACATGACATGTCCTTACGGCCGCATCGGCCATGTTGACTGGTCAACAATGATATTAAAAGAAATAAATGGCAACAATAACAAATGCTTTGCACGTACTTCTTATTTTTCCGATAATAATAGTAATAATAACCTCACTAATTATTAAAACTTGAGAAAAAAGGGTTTTCTTAGACCACAGATGTGATTCTTCTTCATATACCCAAATACGATACTCGATGCTTAAGCTAGTTCTCTTTAGTATCACTAAAATATGCTGATATATTCTTTTTGCCATAGTCTATCCGCTACCCTCGTCGCCCTGCTGTTTATTAGGCCAAGGGAAATCGCGAAGTAATTGATCTTACTGCTTGATATGCTTGGCTAACTGGCCAGCGTGGTTGCAGTTATTTACGTAGTACTTTTAGCTAATCCTTATCGCACTTTAGACATTCGCTACGGAAAGAAGAGCCGCCGTCGAAAGGGGGATCCAGAGAGAAAACAACAACGGAAAATGGAACATGGGGCGAAATTCGCCCTGTATCAAACTGCGTCAATCGGACTGCGTTAGTCGAATCCGAACGGAAGTCAATTGGCTGGGTACCAACAATCTAAAAACAGCATCTGCAATGGCTTTTGTTACTGCTACCGGGGTGATTGTCAGCGTCGTGCGCTTCTGTAGGTCGTAAAGTTATTTATTGCAATATATAGGAGGGCATTTCTATCTGCGACAACTAACGGGGCAACTGTTCCAGAAAGCGAGAAAGGGCGTACAGTCGCGTAGTACAACGGCAAACGGTATTTGCACGAGCCAACGCGTGCTGAATTAAGCTTAAACGTCGGCAGATCGAATGTATACGGATAGGTAAAGAAACTGATGTAAATGTGCTGGAATGAAAAATTTCTTTTTACGTATTTTCTAAATATTGCACTGTATACATGGGTTTAATTATAGGTGCAGGCCGCTTA